AGGAGGGCGATCCCTTGGCCTGCGCGACGCCGCCCGGGCCCTCCAGAGGAACAGGCGGAAAGAGAGGCAACTTCCAAGGCTCCCATTAAAGCACAGTAGAGTCGGGAGCCATCCAGTTCTGGGTCTTTTTTTATTATTCTTTTCATTCCCCCCCCGGCCCCTCCTGTCGTTCCTTTGGATTTTGAGAGAGGGACTGACTCCCTCCCGGAAGCCACAGGCTTGAGTTTGCCGGGCGGGGCGGAAGGAAACCACCATCCGGTTCCCTCGCAGGGCCGCCATAAGTCGGAGGCCCCAGCAGCAGCAAGAGCAAGGTCAAGGAAGGCCCGGATGTCGCCTGTCCGGAGCGCGGAGCGCCGCTCTACCGTCTTTCGCACCTCTATGGCCCTTTGATAGGCAGCCGGCGGAGAGAAGCACGCAGGCGTGCCAGGGAAGGCGGGTCTGATTGACGGCCGAAGCCCTTCCGCCACCTCTCGCTCATTCTTTATCCGGGCCAGAGCGGACCACAAAAATTCCCGGGAGAGAGCGGCACATCTTTCACCTCAACGCCGGAAATCCGGCTGTGAACTACGAGGCCTTTTTAGCGTGAGGAAGGGAAAAAACTCGGGAGGCCAAGGGGGGCGGAAGTGACCGCCCTTTCCCATCCTCGCCCCGCCTTTTTCCCGCCATCGTCCAATCTTTTTGCAGTGGTTCAAGAGGAGGGCTGTCCACTCCAATGGCAGGAGGAGGATTGCTCGATTGGCGGCCGAGTCGGCCAAGCAGAAAGAGGCAGGCCGGCCCTTGACGCGCCCGCCTTCCTAGCCCCAAATGGCGGCGCTTCTGTGAGGTGAGCGCTAGGGGCCTCGAGTTCCCGCCTCGCGGCTCGCCCGTTTCCACGGGAACCCCCCCGGGCTTCGAACCCCGTGGGGCCTTCCCCGCCTGCAGGAGAGGCTTCGCCCACCGGAGGGACGGGCAGGTAGCCTGCAGCTGAGCCGGGAAGCTCCTCGGCGGGAGTGAAGCGGGCCCGGGGGGTGGGGGTGGACCGAATCGCTCTCTGCGCCTGCGCGAGAAGCCCCACCGACCCCCGATTGCTCTAGCCTTTTCGTCGTCCTTCCTCGCAGGGCCGTCGTGCAAGCGGAGGACGTCGGCGGCGTCTAGCATGGCGTGCACCGGGGTGCTGAGGGCGCTGGCGGCGCCTCTTCGCTGGGGTAGGTCCCGGCGGGGCGGCGCTTCCCGGGGTGGGGAGGGGGCCGCTTTCTCTCCCCCCCCTTTCCCGCCCGGCTGGCCTTCAACCTCCCGCCGCCTGTCCTCGCGGCCTGGCCGGGGGTGGGAGCCTGAGCCTCCGGAACCCCCTCCCTCCCCCC